GTCCGCTTCAAACTTAAGTCCCGACTGGTAAACTTCATGGAAAACTCCACTTTAATCTTAAAAATAACCATAAATGAGATATGTGTGTAGGGCAATAATGCAAAAAGTATCAATATGTTTGATGGGAAATAAATTAGTACCCCATTCATTTCTATGACGTCCATATGCCAGTTTTTGGACTGCACAGTCTGTGGGTCCAGCTGTAAAGAGACAGAGAGAAATGAGTGTGAGAATTACTTCATCGTTAGCACAGAGAGTTATGATGCAATTATTGCCGTTCAGTACAATGCAAACACTATGGCCTCAGAGAGTATTGTCATAGGTCAAAGGTTAGTGCTGAGAGACCACAGCAGACCAATATTTCAACAATAAATACCAATAAATTGCCTCCAGAATGAAAAAGGCCTGAGGCTCAGAACAGCCACAGTTTTCAGTATTTCAGTACAGTATCAGGGTGCATGAGGGTATTTCAGGTTTATGATGCAATATTTTGAGCAATATATCAGTAAACACCTGCGTTGTATGTTACATTTCAAATGTATTTATTGGTATAGCTCTCTTCACAATACACGCTGTTTCAAAAAGCAGCTTAAAAACCAGTATGCTAAAAGTTCAGTATTTCTTAATGCCTTACAGCTGCATTTAGGTGATTAGAGCTAGGTGATAATATAGTTTACTTTTTGCGATGATACAAGCAATCAAGCAGTTGAGATTTGCTATATAGTATGTCTGTTTCTACATGCCAACTCTTTATGTGAACATTTTAAACCTACAACAGCAGCTTATTTCTATTTCCTCTCCCCCACCCTCCCCTCTTTTTTTTTTATATAGATGACGCAAAATCATTTTGCTATTCTATCTAAAAATTCCCAGGCAGTCCTTTCTATAAAAAAACCCTGAGAAAGTCACAGTAGACTTCTTCCCTTATTATTACATATCTAGACCGTAAAGTTAACTGTATTACACTGCTGCATGAGAGCAGGAGTCCAGCACAGATGAATCAAACCTGAATACAGCTCTATAATGAAAACAGTCTTCACTGAAACACAGCACTATAAACACAACATGAATCAAAGTAAGAATCACTACTTCAATGAGCTGGATGTGACAGTGACAAAACTGTTATATTCAGAGATCAGGCCATTTAGAGTGTTTAGTATTACCCATAACTCATAAGAACTCACACTATGATATTTAGGTACTTTCAGGCTACTGTCCTGTGAACATATAAGGAAAAGCACTCTAGACAAAATCTGTGCTGTTTCCATTAACACACAACTCTCTAAGGAGAGCAGACTTAGTTACACTCTCTCTCACATACACATCAGTTTCCCATGCTACATGCCACAGACTAGATGGATGATGGGAAGGGCTATCTAGGGAGGACTCTCCCCACTCTTAAACTAATCTGTCAATCAAACCCAAAAGTAAGAGACACGATAATAAACAAATCGGACCATATCTGAATCCAGTTACTGATCACCGTTAGAAATCAACTACTCCACACTAAGACTCAATCCAAAGCAATTCCTGTGCATATGCATTTAATTAAACTTCACTGACAATCAACATGAAGTTGGCTTATGCATGAGGGAACACAAACAGTACACATGCTGACAAATCAGCCATAAAATTAATATTTACAGGAAAACATGCGTAGGTTGAGTAGCTTTTTATGAGAACGTCTGACAAGGTCCGTCAAGCACATAAATCTGCATTAGCTTGTATCACTAAAATCAATTCTCTCAATACAATTAGTGGGCAATCATCATACTGGTGTTGTTTATACACATATTAGGGCTATAATGAGATTCTTATTGGATATTTATGGAATGCTGCAGCCTTGTTATTATCCCACGGCTAAACCAATATGACATGTTTACACCAATCAAATTAACAGGGTAATAAATGGATATTTTGAGATCAGCAGTGAGGACGCAAGCGAGTCTGGTGTTTACTGTGGTTCTGAGGTTAATCCAAATCAAATGGATATTTTAAGAGCTGTATTGACCTTGACACATACATGAGGGTCTGCTGCAGGGGTCTCTATGATATATTTTTATTATATATATATATATATATATATATATATATATATACAGTGAGCTAAAATAATGAAGGAGTGGCTTCACAACAACTCTGTGACTGTTCTTGAATGGCCCAGCCAGAGCCCTGACTTAAACCCAATTGAGCATCTCTGGAGAGACCTAAAAATGGCTGTCCACCAACGTTTACTATCCAACCTGACAGAACTGGAGAGGATCTGCAAGGAGGGATGGCAGAGGATCCCCAAATCCAGGTGTGAATAACTTGTTGCATCTTTCCCAAAAAGACTCATGGCTGTATTCGATCAAAAGGGTGCTTCTACTAAATACTGAGCAAAGGGTCTGAATATTTAGGACCATGTGATATTTCAGTTTTTTCTTTTTTAATAAATCTGCAAAAATGTCAACAATTCTGTGTTTTTCTGTCAATATGGGGTGCTGTGTGTACATTAATGAGGAAAAAAAATTAACTTAAATGATTTTAGCAAATGGCTGCAATATAACAAAGAGTGAAAAATTTAAGGGGGTCTGAATACTTTCCGTACCCACTGTATATATATATATACACACATACATTCTTCTTTTAATTATATATTTAATGTTTTATTTTGTTCTATACTTTGATTTGGCAGACAATTTTTTTTATAATGACTTAACAAAATTGCTCAACTGCTTTTCTAAGAATTTTCTAAGAAATAACGCATCATAATAAATCATAATTATGTAAAACTATTCAATAACATAAAAGATGTGTTTTCAAATAATCATAAATGTATTTTTGAATAACTAACAAGATCTGGACATATAGGTGAGAGTCAACTCATTGACCCTCTGATAAATTTTTAACTCATACGCATGTCAAAACACATGTAGTTGTCACTTTTTTACGAACTGTTAATGAAAATAACAGTATTTATCACTCCAAACATTACTGACAACCATATTATTCTGCAGTGTGAATGTAGCCTTACAGATCCCAAATATCTATGCTACACATGCCCTTACTTGAGCCCTTCTCTAACCTTCTGGTGCTTCTTACAGTACTTTATAAAAAATGTATGGAATCAAACGGGTCCATGATATGTCTAGAAAATCCTTTAATACAGCTAAACGGCTTACCCTTACAAAGACTCACCTTGTAGACACCTCATCTGTCCAAGTAGACACCTTTTCTCCAAACTCTTAGTAAATGTCCTGAGGGATTTCACCTCACATCACCCCACAAACACCACTTCTCATTTTCCTCTGGGAAATCTCAAAGTTTGGGATAAAAGAGCTCAAAACTAACGTCTATGAGATTATTTTAACAGCGTACTCAATTGATTCCCAATAAGCCAGACTGGATGATCATGTTAAGGCTGGGGTGAAGGTCAGAGAAGAAACTTATTCTCATCACTCTCAGCATTGGCCAACCGTCTTCAAGACACCAGTCAATAGCTATATTTCCATCACCCTATTTTAATGCGCATTTTGAAGTATCGCATGAGAAACGAATGATGGAAATGCCAAATTTCGAATAAAAATCCCTTAATTCGCAAAAAAGTTTTTACGCTCGCTTGAGGTGGTTTTTGACTTGTGCGAAAAAGGGTTGATGCGAATAATGGGAGATGGAAATGCATTTTGCGAACAAATTCCTCCAAGCGCATCAAAAAAGTCATGTGACTTTGTGCTATGGGACGGCAAAACCTGACTAACCAGCGGACCGATCTCATTCCACAGCATCTGAAATGTTTTTATGGTCATTCGGAAATGCACAAGCAAAGTCTGTCATCAAAGTATTTCTGTATAATTGCCTCCCAGAAATGTCTAGCAGCACTGCGTTCCCAAACAGCAGACATTCCTCTGAAAGCAATGACCGCATTCATTGTGTTTCGTCTTCTCGCTCTGAGGTTTTTAATAAATCTGCAAAAATGTCAACAATTCTGTGTTTTTCTGTCAATATGGGGTGCTGTGTGTACATTAAAGAGGAAAAAAAATAACTTAAATGATTTTAGCAAATGGCTGTAATATAACAGAGTGAAAAATTTAAGGGGGTCTGAATACTTTCCGTACCCACTGTATATATACCACATAATATTAAGCAGCACAACTAATGATAAGAATAAATGTTTCTTGAGCAAATATTCAGCATATTTCAATGATTTCTAGTGAAACTGAAGACTGAAGTAATATAATGGCTGCTGAAAATTCAGCTTTGCATCACAGGAATAAATTACATTCTAGAATATATTAAAATAGAAAAGTTAATTTCAACTGTGATAATACTTAATATTGGCTGTTTTGCTGTATTTTAATCAAATAAATGCACCATTGGTGAGTTTAATAATCTTCTTTCAAAAACATCAAAATTCTTATACCAACCTCAAACTTTTGAATGGTTGTGTATTAATATTCAGCAAGGACAGGGAAATAAAATAATGAGACTTCAAGCTCATAACAATTTCTTTGTCCCAGCAGTGTAGATTCAGTAAGAGTGCTGAAAACATTGTCAAGAGTATTTTAGTATCTGTCAGCAAGGGCAGAAGTATCCAGGCACTGAACAACCAATATTGGAACCAAATGTCATGAAAAAGTCATAAAACAGAAAATGGAATTGGTTCAGAGGAAAACCATTTCTCAAATCCATCTTTCATACAGTATAACATCCAGTGTGCTGTCAGGTGTATGAATGAACGGAGGCAGTTTTGTGTGACTGGTGTAGCTCTGTGCTCATCATCCTTACATAAGGAGCCTTGGTATTGTATAATAAAGCTTAACGCATGGCTGAAGATGTAATGTGACTCATGTTGTGAGCAAACATGCACAAATACAGCAAAAACACAACTTTATTGTGTTTACATTAACAATACATTGTTAATGTAAACATTTACATTTACAATACATTGTATTTATGCCGCTTTGTTTATACTGTAAGAACCCACAGGGAGCAATGCAGGCTAAAGCACTCAAATAAACACGACAAACAGCTTTGTTCAACAAGCTCTCAGTAAAATATCAAGCCCTGCTTTATAATGTCCTGATCACCTTATTTTTCATGACTATATGGCAAGCTACAGCCAGACACCCAGTGTTACCCTTCACACATCTCTCTGTAGCATGTGGCCAGTAGTTACAGCTCTCACTCTGGAGAAATCTTGGCATTTGTAGGAAAACAT